AAAAGTGAGCTGACTTCACAGTACCAAAAAACCAGAGTTAACACCAAACATACCTGGTGTTCCTCCTAATCTAAAACACTTGATGCAGGGCTATTTACTTGGACTTGGTATTGTGAGTTTCAGCACCCCCTAAGACCAAACATCAGATTCCATAAAAGCACTTAATGTAAATAAGCTGGAGGTGAACTCTGCAGCCCCTCCACACCTCCTTGTTACAACAGAATGTGCACTGTGTAGATCACTTTGTAAAACATCAACCTCGTTATAAAACTTGACAGAACAGATTCCTGCAGCCAACAATGCATACTACAAGTCTTTACTCCAAAACTGTTTGTGGGCAACAGCTTTTAAAATCAAAACGACCTAATGAGGGTGCAGGTGTGTCTTTAGTGATATAATCCCTTGGAGGTTTTACTGTTAAGTCATTTCTTGCTGCCAAAGTAAAAAAATTGCTCAAGTGTATTAAACTATTAGTGCAACAATAGTATGAACTTCATTTTAAAGTGTTAACTTTTATATTCCAAATATCAATGTGACAGATGTGCAGAGGGCATAGTCAGTGATTCCAAGTGCTGAATTTGGTACAAGACTTGTTCAAAGTAACTCACAGGGATTCCCATTTGATTTTGATTCTCTATTCAGAAGGTGGCGGTAATCCAACTAATGTTACGTGCCTGCCTCAAAAAACAGAGGAAGAAGACAAGGAAATCGCACAAGCGCCGATACGCGCCGCCAATTGATTGTACAACAGTTATTCGGTTTTGCCAAACACAGGATTATTCTCAATTATATGAACGAATATTACACTACTCTATTCCATACTATTTACAAGTAGAGCTGCGTCTACACTGCTTTAAGTCATCGAAGAAGAAGCAGAAGAAGAAATCAAGTATCTTTATTGTCATTATGCATAGCACAACGAAATTTTCTCCGGCAGCTCTTGGCTTAAAAGACACATCATTTTCATAACACAAAAACTGTACAAGTCAAAAGGAGAACCTTTTTTTTTTTATTCCCTCGGCTCTATTATTGTTCCACACTCCAGCCCAGCAGGTGGTGTTAATGCACCTTAAGTCGGCTTGCAAACCGCTAATAAATATAAGAGGAAGAAGACGCGCATCTCTTTAAAAATGACGGAAGCTGTTAATAGGACATAGAGCTGACCAAAGACGATATATTGTAATAGGTATTTCATCTAGTGATGGGAAGTCCGGCTCTTTTCACAGATTCGGCTCTTTTGGCTCGGCTGTCTTAAAAGAGCCGGCTCTTAATTTATTATCACTCTGCACCTTATATTTCAGCCTAATTTAGCCATTATAAATGGTTTTTGTGTTTCTAAGCATTTGTTTACTCTGTGTTTTCATAAAAGCCTTATTTTTATCCAGTTTTCTATTTCAAAAAATAGACAGTCACTACTGTTTAACATTTTAATCATTATCAGTAACACAGCACACCACTTTGTCATCTAC